TTTATTTCTCTCTGGTCAAATTAAAAAACAGTAAAACAAGGGGACAAGCAAATGTTGTAATGGTTACATTGCCAGGCTCCCACTAGTTGAACACAGTTCAAGTCCCACAATCAGTGACTTAAAAAACACTCACACTGGGTGTGTGTGTATGTGCCCAAGATCTCAAGAGAAGAACAGAGGAGAAGGGGCTGTGGTGTGGTCACCCACCCCCCCCGGGGGTGATTTCTCAATTTCTGTCTCTGTCTCCAGCGAGCGCACACACCCTATAGCAAAAAAAATCTTTCTCAAGAATAATTTTTTAAAAATTAATAGACAATTCTTTTAAAAACAAGAGAGAGAGAGAGAGAGAGAGAGAGAGAGAGAGATGGGGGCCAGCATTTGGCATATTGGTTATGCTGCTGCCACTCCCACATGGCTGACTGTGGTTCAAGTCCTGGACCTAGTACTTGAAAAATCACACTGGGTGCATGTGCATGTGCATGTGTGCCTAAGACCCCAGGAGGAAAATGGAGAAGAGACTGCAGCATCCTCATTTCCCCTTGGGAGGTGATTTCTCACTTTCCCTCTCACTGTCTCTGTCTCTCTCTCTGGTGAGCACTTAGAGCCTATGCAAGAACCTCTTAAGAAAAAGAGAGATAAGAACAAAGTATGTAAAACTGAGAGCAGCACTCTCCAGAGCACAGAAATCATCTGAGAAGTCAAGCCACATTAGCAGGCCCAGGAGCTTTATAGGCTCAGTCTATATTAGAGATACCTTTCTTCTTTTTTTTCTTTGGGAGAGGTTTTTGCTATAGGGTGCATGCGCTTGCCAGAAAGACAGAGAGAGACAAGAGACACAGAAAGTAAGAAATCATCCCCCATGGAGGATGGCCACGTTGCAGTCCCTGCTCTTCCATTTTCCTTTCAAACTTTTGGGCACGCACACACACATGCCCAGCGTGAGTTTAAGCCTCTAGGTCCAGGACTCGAACCATGGTCAACTACACGGGAATCCAGCAACATAGCCATTACGCCAACTGCTTGTCCCCAGATACCTCTTTATTCTAACCACATCTGCTAATCTATCAATGCCCCTATATTTCCCACACTTTCCATCTTCTCAACACAAGTAAAACAATCCATTCCCCTGGCAGTTCTACCTGGTCTGAGCATCCCTAGGTCTGAAGGATGATACAAGCCACCAAACTATGCAATTATTTTTGAGACTTTAAGCAACTTAAGAATGAGTTCAGCTTTGCTGGGATATAAGGAACAACTAATTAAATGTCTTTCAGTGAAGAATGCACAGGAGTTACTTAATGGCACAGTACCTAGGTAAGAGAGACCCACACATGAATAACTTTAACTTGATAATTTAGAAGACACCCCCAAAGTATGTTTTACCACCACACTGTATGGAACAATTCTATTTTCCATGTACCTGGAAACGTGCCATTTATGTGAATATTCTGGCTAACAAAGATCTAGATAATTAGCACACTTACTTGTAGTTGTGATGGGAGGGAGTTCTTCAGGCTGCTTGATGTCTTTCTTTGGAGCAGAAAGTTGCTCATCTAAGTTCTTCAGTCGATCTTTATCCTTTAGTAGGTTTCCTGGTTTTAGTTCATTGATGTCTAATGCAAGGTTCTTGCAAAGGACCTCGATCTCAAACTTCAAGTTTAACTGCATAATCCAGTATTTCATGAGAATTTTAAAAAGAAATTTAAGTTTTATTAAAAATGTACTGTACTGTCAACCCAACTACCTTAGTGCTTCCACCATTCCAACTTTATTCTAAATTATAATGTGAAGGCAGAGACTTTTCCAAAGGATAAAAAAATATATACCTTTAAGTCATGCTCCTGATGTAGTTCAGCTAATACATTCATAATTGCCATCGTCCAGGGGTTTGGTGGCCTAAAAACCTGAAGAAAAACTATTACGTTAAGCTGGACCAAAATCCACTCTTTAACTAGACTAAACTCAAACATATATGGCCATAACAAAACCCTAGCCTTTCTCCCATACTGTACTTCAAAATAATACCAAAACATCTTTATTAGAAACAGCCTTGTAATTTCACTTAGACACTGAAATTAGAAATCCTATTTCCAATGAAGATAAACTGACTGTGAACAAGCTTAACATTCACAAGACATAAGAATATAAAATCTCTTGACGTTGTGCCAAGACAAACCAACTTTTACAAATTACCCACTAATCAAGTATTTAAATCTACTCACCACACTACGAATGCTGGACTCTAAGACTTTGGCAACAAAGGGCACTACATAGAGCAACTCTTGTTGTCCTTTAACATAAGCCTCTAGCAGCAAAGATTTCACATCCAAGTCCTAGTATAAGAAAAATATTTTTAAAAACAGAATAAAAAATTTATAAAGCCATTATAAAGAACCCAAAATGTACTTAGCAAAACATACCCCCAAAACAGGAATTAACATAGTATCTGATTTTGTCTTATAAAGGGAAAGGTGACAATAATTTGATGCCCTTTTAAAAATCATATAAGATGTAGAATCACAATCACACAATTAAAAACTTGAAACATGAACCAAAATCTTTCAAAAACCCAATAACCATTAAAATAGTCCTTAGTCAAGAACATTCAGACTTAATATATCGTATGAACATTCTCACACTTTACATGAACCTTTAGCTGGAACTCACAGTGTGTAAGATGGGCTTATTTTTAGCTAATGTGATCATTCCTAGCCAATGCCCCAAGTTCTTCAGCAAGGAGCGATCTGAGAAATTGGCTGCAGCTTTATCAGAGGTCAGGAGCACCTGAAATAGTACAGGATTAAGATAGATATGAGAATGAACTCATGAAAAAACATGCTCAAAGAATGTTTGAAAATTCCATTATACTGTTTTAAAAACAAGTTATAGGGACCAGCAGATGATGTAATGGTTATATTACTGGCCTCCCAACGGATGCATGTGCCTCCGTGCCCAAAATCCTGAGAGGAGAACAGTGGATAAGAGACTATGGCATGGCCATCTCCCAGGAGGCTGAACTCTCACTTTCTGTTTCTCTGGTGAGCCCAAGTACTCTCTCTCTCAAAAAAAAAAAAAAACCCCAAAAATAAAAAAGCCTGTAATCTCTGAGAATAGAACCCAACACAGATGCACTAGGTGTATCATAATGAAAACAATTTGCTGTGCTCACTACCCAACAATAACATTTCTACCTTTAATAAGAATATTTTAGGGACCAGTAGTTACCGTAATGGCTATGTCGCTGAACTCCCATGTAGTCGACCGAGGTTCAAGTACCGGACCTGGTGGCTTAAACTCACACCGGGCGTGTGGGCGTGCATGAGTGCCCAAGATCCCGAGGGGACAATGGAGGAGAAGGGATTGTGGCATGGCCATCTCCCAGGGGGTGTTTTAGGGGTTGGGTTGATTTCTCGCTTTTTATCTCTCTGTCTCTCCCTGTCTTTCTGGCGAACGCACGCACCCTATAGCAAAAACCTCTCCAAAAAAAAAAAGAAAAAGAATATTTTAATTTTAAAAAAGTTAATACAAACACATACAAAATTTGAAAAGTCACAAAGTTACTTCCCACAGACAAATTTTAAAACTCTGAAAACTGCCCAGCAGTTGGAATAATGCTTATGTCGCTGGACTTCCACATAGTCGAACACAGTTTTGAGTCCCAAACCTGGTGGCTTAAAATTCATGTTGGGTGCGTATGTGTGTGTGCGCCAAAAATCCTGACAGGACAATGGAGAAGATGGAATTGCAGCATGGGCATCCCACCTGATCCCACCTGACAGGTGATTGCTCACACCCTACAGCAAAAATCTCTTTAAAAAACAAGCAAAAAAAAAAAAAAAAAAAAACCTGACAGGGTATTTCTCACCCCCTACAGCAAAAATCTCTTTAAAAAACAAGCAAAAAAAAAAAAAAAAAACAAGCAAAAACCCCCACAAAACTCTGAAAACCTTCGCTAGGTTTGAAACAGAGATGCAATTAAAAACATATTTTTGAATGCTGTATCAATTAAGATTATATCTATGTCTGTGTTTCAAAGCAGCAGGGATATAGAGAAGAATATGACCAAAATAGTTATCTATTGCACATCCAGGTCATTATCATTCTCTAGAGTCAAATAAAATAACTGTCTGAAATACAGAATCATATTCTTTTATAGAATCAAACACTACATAAGATGTTTCATCAACAACAGACTACACATTTATAATAGCGGTTCATTAAAACTATACTACATAGCCTAGAGGTGGGTAGTAAGCTATACTATTATAGGTTTGTTTAAATATACTCTATGACATATCCTCACAATTACAAGTTATCACAATGACAAAAATTGCCTAAGGATCCATCCCTAAAAATGTATCCTTATCATTCATCAACGTATGATTGTTACTTTTAACTTGTTTTTTTTTTTTTTTTTTTTTTTTTTTTTTTTGTTGTGGGAAATATAAAAACACCAAAAAAAAAG